ACATGTAACCAGAATGATTAACATCTAGCAAAAGGGATTGATCTTAATTTTTTCCTTGGCAATTGATATGAAGGTAATAAACAGGTAAATATATGAAGTTAGAGAAGAAAAGATACTTTTATTATATTTATGCCAGGCACATAGGGTGTGTTCTAATTACATTAGTAAGTATTGAAAAGTCAAATACAAATGCTTTTCATGTTTATGAGTAAAAATGAAGCAATTTAGAAAAATAAAGGATGCACAAAACACTATGAACATTTTGGTGCTGTTTATTTCAGTTGTGAAAACATGGCGTGATAGGTCAGAGGAGCAGTGAACTCAGAACTAGGAGCTCTGGTTCCAGTGATCATTTTTGCTCTGCATTTGAACAGATCACTTAACTTGGGGTCTCCTTTATCTACTACATAAACTGAGTGAATGATGGATAATCTTCAAGGTCCCTTACAGCTCTAACTTGTGCTTCCATTAGATTTAAAGAGCTCCTTTTTATTTCGTTGATGTTATTATTGGAATAACTTTATATCTGCACCGAAATAGAGCTAGAAGTCATTTGCACGTATTTCTGCAAAGTGCCTTCTAAAGCTAGATACATTTGTGAGTGGCTTTTTTTGGCACTAAATCATACACTCTAAATTTGCAGTCTCTTATATCAAACCGAACAGTTATGCAAGATTAAAATGCTCGGTCATTTAACTGAACATGTGTGGCAGCAGTTGTTCATTTCATGTCGTCCATCCAAGGGCCACTTTGATTTAGTTTCTTGTGTCACTTAGACCTGCCCATAAATATTTAAATCAACTTTAGATTTTAGAAAGTGTTGCACTCTCTCTTATACCGTTCATACATATTAACTATTTTACAATATATCTTTAAAAAAAATACGTGGCTTCACATTTAGAGTCCTTAAGTTAGTACATTGGATTTTAAATTATGTCTTGATATAGGAATAGGACGCATGATGGTTCATTTTATAAAAAGCCCTTAGCATAAGAGCTTGCTGAGAAGGAAGCCAATTGTTTAGTAAAGCCAGTTTGAAAGGCTTCATCATTTAAAAATAACTCAGCAAGATATGATTTAAGAAATTTAAATAAATTTAATATGATGATTTATCTATCTTGCTAAAACTTCTAGTAAACATTATATTTGTTAGAAGGATTGATAGTCATTTGTGATGTAATCTCTTAATGAACTTAATGGCAAATACAAATGTTTAATTTCAGATTAAATAATGGAAGTATGGCTCTTATAATCGCACGAAACACTTCTCGACCAGAATTTATAAAACACCTGAAAAGATACGCTGGTGTTAAAAATCAGGTATGGTAAATCCTTTTTGTTACTTGTGTGCAAAGATGGACAGAGATATGCTGCAGGAGTTGACATCAAGTCCTGCCTCGTAAGGCTTTATTTTCTTCTGAATATATTAATCTTTTTTCTTTCAATTTGTACTTCCTATAAATTGTGAAAAGCATCCAAAAGTACTAATATAGATTAGCCTGTTTTGAGCTATGGGTTAGTAGTTATATGTGTTTTTTGCACAAAGAGAAGATAGAAAATTTAGTGTTATATTGAAATAAGAAATAAATTAAGGATAAAATTACATAATTGAGCTGTTCTTCAGAATGAAAAGTAGTGAAATCTTAGATTTTTAGCCTTCTTAATGTTATGGCAGCAGACTTTCTCTAAAGTTATGACCTTAGAATTTCCTGCTATTTGTTTAGAGATCTACTTACCTTCATTGATAGATTTGCAGATAAATATTTTAAAATATACCAGTTTTATACAGACATTATTTTATTCAAAACTAAAATGTGTGATGTTTGTGGATATAGACAGAATGTAGATAGATAGGTAGATAAAATGATATTTCCACTGAAAGGATTTGTTTTAAAGAGAAGCGGTAACTATCACAAGCCATATTCTTTTGGCAGACACATTTTAACCCCATTATGAAACCGATCTTGGAAATATGTGTATTTCTGAAATTGTGAGCCTTGAAGTACAGTGGTCATGGTTGTAAAACCCTAACATCTCACACCTTCTTAAAGGTATAAAATTGTGCCTGGATATAGTTGGGAGAGAGCACATGGGAGGAGGAGGAGAGTAAATCCAGCCAATGACTAGCGGCTGAATCTCGTTTACATAGATAGCCATTACAAGGGTCCCACTTTTGCCTCTTTATAATTTTAAACTTTTTCAGGTGGTCCTCATGAAATTTCAGTTCTCTTCTGCCTACTACATTATTTGATCAATATGTATTGAACAACCAATTGCAATGTTTAGGAAATTGTCATAAAAATTAGATATAGTCCCACTTTTCTTAAATATAAATCTCTAAGGTGACAAAGTAGACAAAAGCAAATATAAAGTAGTTGTGAGCCTAAGTAATAACTTTATGTATGTATGTTTTGGGAAATACAGTGATTTATTGATTTTATAGGAATGAATGCCTTTTAGGTGTTACTCAACTTATAAACGTTAAAACCAACTTTGTTATTTTTCTTAATCCAAAAGTAGTGCTACATGTCTGGTTGTTTTTGTTTGTCAGAAAATAGAAACAGGAAAACAATATAAAAAGCATTAAAAATTCCATATTCCAAGAGCGTCATTATTAGGTATAAATGTTTTCTAATCATTTTCTATTAAAGAGAGAACTTAAATATTAACCTTAATGTACCTACCCCTAGAAGCTTTATTTTAGAGAGGCATCTATTGCACAAGTTACTTATGGAAGGTCTTTTTTAGAATTGCCCAAGGGGCAAATTTCTAAGACAATTTTTGTAGACATCCTTTTTTCAATATGAATTTAAAAGTAAAAGATGCTTACTGTAAAATGAGGATAAGAACATAGTGAATGTAATTCTATATAGGAAAATAATTGTTTTTAAAATGAGATCGTGTTATGCAAGGTGTATTTTTCTTATGTACTCTACCAGTTATATCTTGTTTTTGATGCAAGAAAGCATTGGCTGTGTGTGTATGTGTGATTCATTAAGCTTAACTTTGACTTAGCTCTTTCCAAAAATTAAAGTCCATGTTACTGCTCTGTAATTTTTTGTGAATTCTCAAATGTTTTGCATAATGTTGTATATTAAGAATAATTAGATTGATTCCCAAGGTGACTACTTTCAAGCAAAGTTAATTTGATACATTTGTTAAAAAAAATTATAGACACACATATACACGTGTGTGTAGTCTTTTTCTTTCATGACATTTTCAAAAATATAAATTTATATACATTAAGTAATATTATAAAGACCAGATAAATGTAAGATTATATTATCTAATACCTAATTAGTAGCAGTTCTGGTATCCAGGAAGGAAAATGCAGCACTTCAGCCTAAGGAGACCAACAGTCTAGGTCCCTGAACCATTCTTTACCACGACAAACTGAATGTTCATATGTATTAACAATTGTAGGATGTATTGAAAACTGTCATTTGTGGCGTGACTCATCTTTCCTTCCCCCTCTGTGTGAAATATATAGAAAGTAAACATTACCCTTTAAGTCCTTTCAACTCCATCCTATATCTGGCCTCTTATCACTGTCCACACATTTCTTCATTCGCTTCAACCATCATTTTTGGTAGGGAGCTTGAAACTTTTAAATGTGTTTCCCCGGAGATTGGTTTGCAGCCCTCTTGTCTCATGACACCTTCTCCTGGGAATCTCATGGACCCTGGTGTTTGAACTGAGTGCTGCATACCTACAAAAGTTCCACTTTCTCTTCTGACCTGCGGGACTGTTGTGTCTTCTTGTGTGCTGAGGTTATAAAACTCACACACATCTTGAGTCTAGCATGTCTGTAGCTGACCTTATTGTCTTTTTCCCTAGAGGAGCCCCTTTCATGTTTCCTACATTGGTCAGTGGCACCACTCGACCCATCCTGGATTTACTCTGGATTCCTCTCCCTCCCTCATTCCTCACAACCTGTCCACCAAGCAGTTCTACTGGTTCTCCTCTTAAATGTTTCTTGAATTTCTCCCTCACTTTGATTCAGATCTTAATTTCTTCTTAATTTCTCCAGTAGTTTCCTTCAGGTCTTCCTTTTGCTCTGGTCTTGTCTTCCACACTTCTTTCTAAAGGGATTTTTCTAAAATACACATCTGATTTCTCCTTAATTGTTCAATATCTTTTTCATTGTCATTAGGATAATAACTGTTTTCCTCTACATGTATTGTATGGCCCTTTGTATTCTGGCCCTTGCCTATTCCAGCCTCACCTCTTGCCATCCTCTACCAGATTTCCTGTGTTTTGTTTTTGTATTGGTTTTCTAGAGCTGCCATAACAAACATTACAGACCAGGTGGCTTAAACGCAGAAATTCATCCTTTCACAATTCTGAATGCTCGAAGTCCAAAAAGGTTTTAAGGGTGTAGTTTCTCCTGAGTCTCTCTTCTTGGCTTGCAGATAGCTGTCTTCTGGCTCTGTCCTCATATGGTCTTTCATCTGTGCATGCACATCCCTGGTATCTCTGTGTCCCAGTTTCCTCCTCTTATAATGACACTAGTCATATTGAATTGGGGCCTGTCCTAAAGACTTCGTTCTAACTTAACCACATCTTTAAACACTATCTGCAAACACAGTTACATTCTAGAGGTTAAGACTTCAAAATATGAATTTTGGGGGGGGGGTGGGGGAAGACACAATTCAGCCTATAACATTGTCTGTTTTAAAAAATTAAGTACGAGCATTTATATATTCTGCAAAATAAATGCCAAAATACCAGTATCGCGATCAATATCACAGTATGCTAAATTTTTTTGTTTGCTTGTCCATGACATAGTTCTGTACTTTTGCAACTTTTGTTTCTTTCCAGAACTTCTTCCCTTCTCCTCCAGGCTAATTCTTCTGTGTTCTTTAAGACTCTGCTCAACTGGGAAGCTCCCCCAGCATCCTGAGCCTCTTTACCTCCTCTCCTATATCTCATTTAACTCTGTATACACCATCATGGCACTTAAATGAATCACAATTGTAACTGTTCATTTTTCTTCCTCATGCCTCAAACATACCCTCACACATTATATTAAGCTATTGGTTCACTAAAGTAGCATCTAACAATGTCTGTGGCTTCACAGGTAATAACTTTACAGGGGTGGATGGAGTTTCATTTTGTGATGATTTAAGATAACAGGCTTACTGGTGATGGCCATCAGTTGTTAACATTCATTGGCTTGCTGCTGCATCATTCCAGTATCTGACTTTTATTACATAGCATTCTTCCTGTGTGTTTCTGTCTTCACATGGCATTCTCTTCTAAGGGCACCAGTCATATTGGATTAGGGTCCACCCTCATGACCTCATCTTAACTTAATTGCATTTGCAAAGACCTTATTTCCAAAGATGACATTCACAGGTACTAAAAGTTATGACTTCTAGATGTTTTTATGGAGGACATAATTTAACCCATTATGGCCAGTTATTAATGACTCATTTATTTTTGCAATGAATGATTATGTATACAATGACTGATTATATAGAAATTTTTATAAATACACAATATGAAGGATGTCTCCATGGCTTTAAACCTGAGATGGGTAGTCTAATCCAGAGATTAAGCATTTTCACAGATAGCTGCTTGAGGCTCTCTAATCAGAACAGTTGATGCCACCATATAACCCCACTATAATCCACTAGGTAACCCAGTGGATTATATAGTATAAACTGTAGAATCTGCTGGATCTTGTTCTCTACATAGGCAAAATAAGAGTGTTAGGGAAAATATTAATTTTCCGTCAATTTTAAAATTCTGTGCTTCATTGAGGTTTATATGTGGAAAGGGGCGGGGGAACACGTAGATACTAGGAATAAACCTCATACAATTTATCTGAAAACTGAAATAAGTAGTTCCTGTGCATTTCTACTGAAAAAGTTACTTGGCTATCTTTTCTTGGTTATTTCAGAAAATATTATATTGTTCACTATGGTTTCCTTAGGCAAACAAGCAAAATTGAAATTTGAAAGTTACTTGGCACCATTCTAGAGGGCTCAGTAAACAAATACATTTATCTCGCAACTTGTGTCCATCTTTAGAGCGGGTTTGAGACAGGCAAACACCTATAGAGATTATATTTGATTGACTTTTATTTTCACCTTCATAAGTTTAGACCTATGTTCTTCCTATTAAATTTCAAGTGTGCAACTTACATTAGAGTTTGCCTTACATCAGTTAAACTAGTTGACAAGTAAATAATCAAGCCAGTAGATTACATAAATCTCTGGATCTACCGACCAGTATTAAAGATTGTCTTTAATTGGAAATCCTACAATAATATCATTATTGTATACAGTTTTATAGACATTTACTGTTTGTTAAAAAACAGGTTTGCTAGCTGCTAGATCTAAATGAGATAAGGCAGCTTTAGAAAAGGGGTTCCTTCTTCCAGAGCAAGTGGGGGATCCCTGGTCATAATTCAAGATTCAAAGCTATAAAAATGTCAGCATGCAAGAGAACACAGGAATAAAGGAAGTACTATGATTATTTGCACTTGTTTTATTTAGTTCAGTTTTCCATTCGTTGAGACTTATACTGTTGAAGAAGTAAAAGTTTACCCAAGGAATAAAACCAGTGGACACAATCCAGAAGATCAACAACACGAAACTGCTTCAGAAAAGAGTTTCCCTTGGAATGTAGATGGTGATTTAATGGAAGTTGCATCAGAGGTCCACGTCAAGTAAGTCTAATTATTTCATGGCCTTATATGTTCACCAGTAGACACAAAACTAATAGTATCATGGAAGATTTCTTATGATAAGTATCAACACAGGCAGTTGGCTATATATATGTAATTTTAATCAGTAAATCCACGAAGGATAAAAAGAAGTACAATTTTAATAAAGTATGACTTTACATTATCAATTGTTATGGAGTCAAAGCATTTTCTTTGGGTATGAGTCTATACTGGCATTTTGAATCATTCTTCAGAAACAATACAGATAATGCATGTCTACAATTTCCATTTTGATTTTTAAAAAATGGATCAAAATTTTAAACCTTGCAAAGCCATCTGAGTAGCAGACTGTTACAATGTAATCCTTCAGTCTTTTAAATTTTTTTTCACCCCTAGTTAATACTATAACACTGTATTCAGCAGTTCACTTTTATCAAGTCTTTTTCAAAGCACTCAACTTACTTTACATAGGAACAGTTTTACATATTATTAAATAACAAGAGCAACTGGTATATATATGTTTGGACCATGGAAAGTCATTCTTGGTAAGCTTTATGACTCCAATGGACAGAAGTAGGCAGGGGCACCCTGGGTAGCCCACTAGATATGAGCTTTCTGTAGGCACAATTGACTGAGTTTTACAGAGGAAATGGAGAGCATTGGTCAATAAAGGAAGTTAATTCAGTTTTTCTGGATTGTAGCTGTGCCATAAAAGTATGTTTGTTGACTATCATTAGATTTGTATTATGTACCATACTCAACTGGTAGATGCATGTATATGTGAAAAGTAACAATGATAGGTTGATGAAATAATTATACATATTTTATTATTTACAGATTGCACCCTAAACTTATCAATCTTTATGGAGGAAGCATGGAAGAAATGAATGATTCCAAAGTAACATGTGATTGTTTGTAACAGAAATGTACAAACTAGAATTTTAATATGAAGGTATATGGTCATGCTTTGAGCAGATATCTGAACAGGAAAATTAAGGAAATTAAAATTGCTATTTTTGATGTTGCTAAAAATTAGCTTCTAGGGCTTTAAAAAAACCAATATGAAATATATCAAAATCTATTTAAATTCTAGTTTTGGGAAAGTATTGGAACAGAAAGTGAACATTTCATATACTTAAAATTTAAACATCATGCTATATCTATATTTAACCTAGATAATTCCAAAGTGAAATAATTTGGATCCTTTCATGTTTCAGGATTTGAGTCCAATTCTGATGTTAAATCTCCTATAGCCTGGTACAAACAGACCACAGAGCTCACGTAAGAATGCCGTGATTTTTCCTAACGAGGTACCTAATCCAGCGAGGTTAAATTTCAAAATCTCCCCAAGACTTGCCAAAACAAACCTCTTTTTTTTTTAAATTTGAAAACTCATTTTCTTAAAGTGGTAGGGTTTTAAAATTTATAATACAGGTAATATTGAAGAAGTTTATAAAAAATTTTGAGCTGTGCTATTTCTCTTGCTCCTGGAAGCCACGTCATCCTGCAATCATAGCACATTGTTTCAGTGTATTCAGTAATACCTGAAATGCTGTCATTCCTGAATAGGAAAGAATCTAAATTTCCTCAGGGATCATCCTGAGAAAACAGTTCTAAATTTGGGCTTGATTTTTGCACCAGTGATTCTAGACATTCTCCTGAACTACTTAGCTTTTTATTTAAAAAAAAAAAAAAATGTGTACTTTAAATTATGATTTTTATTGGCACATACAGAGTTCAGGAGGTTTCATGTTCCTGGTGGTTGGGTTTCAATGCTCAAATGCCTTTACAAAAATCTCCACGTAGTCTTCAGCCACAAATCACAGACTACAGGCTTGTGAATGGATAATTTATAGGGATTAGGCAGTCTGAGGAAGACAGCTGTTGGTAGGGACTTCATATAAAGAAATATTTCCATAACAGTAAAGACTGCCCTCTAATTCATCTTTTGATCACTTCCTATAACAGATTTAGCACAGTTTAGATGAAAATATATTCTACAATCAGCATCTAGTTCATGTGGATGAATAAATATTACAAAAAAAGTTGCATTTGTAAATGTAAAGGCATTTAAAGATAATTATTTAAAATCCAGAAACTACATTATAAAAAGGAATCTAAGTTACCATTAACAAAAAACTATCACTAAAACATATCATGGAAATTTTGATGTCACATTTATGTTCATTGGATGTAAACTAAATCTGTATTTTGCATTTACAGTTAAATATTTGAATTTTATTTCTTCATTTTTATGCAGAAGAGGATGCTTTTATATTTGAATAGAAGAGTAACACATCCAAACAAATATTTGTATATTGCTTAATTTGACAATGTTTTACAGAGATCTAAATTTGTATGAATTATTGCCTCCTGTCTTGGTAGAGCTTTGGTTTTTAAAAATTAGGTATAGTTTTGATATTTTACATCTATCAGTGTATTTATACTTCAACTATCAGCTAAAGTGCAACATTCATAATCTGTCCCAGAATATAAATTAGAATTAAGTACTGTTTTTATAAAAAAAATTTTTGACTAATGATAGATTTTTAAAATTTACTCCTGGGTACCCTAGATAAAATTGTGTTATAGGAGGATTCATGGATTTATACCTATATAAATGTATTCTTTTAAAAAGTTAGGTATGTATATATACAGAATGAAGAAAAAAAATCCATAGCTGTATAAACAGTTATCCAGAAGTCATCCCATTAAGCTCAAACCAGTGTATAAGTTCAGGCTGAAGGTTGCTCTTCAGGCCTATAATATTCATAGACTGCTGAATAAATGATTGTTGACCAAAGCCCATTGAAAATGTATACTAGTAAAGATCTTAAAGTGACAATGGTCACTTTAATGGACCAGTTCTTTAAAAGTATTTAGCAGAATTTTTCAAAGAATGTATTTCAAACAAGTCTCAAAGAGCTATTGGAAATGAATTATTACCTGAATGAATTATTCAGTGAAATTTATTTTACCGAAGCAAGCGCCTGTGGTTAATATTTCCTTTAAAGGACTTCAAGTCCAAGACTTCCAATTGAGTTGCTTAATTCAGATGCACTTTCATTTCAAGGTAGCTTCAAGGGATTACTCATTGAATAAACTGAATGCTTTAGTGTTTATCCATTTAAGAACCGAAAGAATATCTCGATATATTAAATATTACCTTTGCAATTATTTTCGCTCAAAGAGCAATCAACATTTGGATTGTTCATTTGCATTATGAGTAAAAGTACATGAATGAACTCTGCTCAGAGTTTGTGGTTTTTTGTAAACAGTATCTTAAATTTTTTATACCTGAGTCTTATTAGTTCTCTGAAAGAAGTCTTTAATCATCATCATCGCTTTTACTGTTAATGTAACTCCAACTCTCTCTTCTGTTTTCTTCTTGTCGGATGGATTTGTACTGTCTTTTAAAGAAGCCAACCTGTAAATAGCATTGCATAATCACTAGTGTGTAGATATTTTATGAGTATAATATCTAAACAGTCATGCCAATATAGTAAAGTCCTCAATGTGGATAAGTTCTATGACTTTATGTGAAATATATAACAAAACTGATTTTACCATGGCTAATTAACATAAACAAGAGTTAAGTTCCTGATGCTGAGGACTTGAGATATTAAGCCTGTGTCCCGTGTAGTGAGTAAAATTAGTTTTGGAAATATTGAGTTAGCATTTTTTTTTGGATTCCTGAAGGACTTCTCAGTAATACATGCTCTTCAAAACTGACATTTGAGAATGTATAGTTTCTCAAATGCTTTTTTAAAAAATATCTTTCAAAACTAGTGTTACATAGTTCAAACAAGTGTTGCAAATAACTTATCTTTAAGAAAATATATTTTTCTAGAAGGACTTTGGTACTGAAGTTAGAAATATGAGATCAGTAGTGTATATTCGCTTATGAATTTTAAAAATGAACAATAAAAATATTGAAAATCTAATAACTTGGGAGTCACAAATTGGCTTTGAGAAAATCAGAAATGGCATTCTGAATGGTTTAACACTGATAATTATTAAAGAAAGGCTTACCTTCCACATAACATATGAAATCAATAAAAGTAAAACCAGTCCAAGGAGCAAGCTGCTTGAAATAATCACTACGGTGAAAAGACGTTTGGGTCTTTGATGATGTAGTCCTTCAAGCAGAACCTACATAAATCAGCCAAAATAAAGACCCAGCAGTTTAAAAACTTACTGTGATTTCCCTTGAAGTCCCCCCATGATCTTCAATAACGTTTAGAACCACCCATCCCATTCCCTTGCTGGTTCTAACACAACTCTACGAAACAATGGTAACTGTTTAGCAGAACAGTAAGTATTTTGGACTTTATTCATGGTTCTTCCTCTCATCCTACCACCTCCTAAAAGCTGTCTGTATCATTCTCTCCTTACAGTTGTAGAAAATGCCAACTCTAAGTATTGAAAGCCCTCCATGATCTAGTCAAAATCTATTTTCCTGACTAAACACCTTAGCAATATTTTTTCCCTCCAATCTTCGTGTTTCAGTTAAAGGTAATCTTACATGTGCAATGTTCTCATCCTTGTTTAGTTCAATAACTTTTGGATTTGGTTCTGGAAAAGCTGTTGCTCTTATTTCAAACTTGAGTGCTGAAGTCTCATCCTGTTTAACAAAAGAAACATCACTGTAGCCTAATTCATAGTTTTAGTTCATGAAAACATTAATAGAGGTAATGTCTCATGATCATTACAATCTAGAGGCTTTCACAATTTATCTCACCATTTGTAGTTAAGTGCAGTGCTTCCTTTGGTTCTCAAGGTATGGTCTTTGTATAAATTTATATGGCATAATTTTTGTTGAAATTCTTTTATTAAAATGGATATTTTGCATATATTTAAATATTTAAAGCAAATTACTTGCTAGTTATCAATGAAATTTTCCCTGGATATTTCATTTTTATCCCCAAATAAGACTGTTTTTCACCTGATAAACCTTTCTTAAAACTCACTTTATTTGGCAAGTCGCACAAATTCTTTGGTTTTCCAGTGCATATAAGTTTGCACTATGCAATAATCATGTGTGCAGTAGCATAATGTTTAAAAAAAATGCTAACCATCATCTGAGCCTGTTGGAAAAATGGCACCATTAGACTTGCTCAACAGTGTTGTTTAACCTTCAATTTGTAAAGAAAAAAAAAAAAATCTGCAAAGCACAGTAAAACAGCTATGCTTGTACCAAGTGCTTTATAAAATTCATCTCATTTGATCTGTAACACCCCTGCAAAAGAGATATTACCCGTATTTATCCGATCAGGAAACTCAAGAACAGAACTCTAGATAAGAACTGATTTTATCTCTAAGTACTTCTCATAAATATGTATATTCCTTTATAGGAAGAAGCCCAAGGAGTATTTAAGTGTTGTTGTTATTGTACATTTGTGTTTTATTGTTGATAAATTTTGATGTTTTGGTTTGATTTTAAGAAACCTAATTTTACTTCTTAGATTTATTATATTTTTAAGCATAATTTAAAATAGTTTGAAAAGCACTTTAAGGTTATATGAAATGTTAAGTTAGTGAATTTCTTTGATTTAAGCAGTTGGACGTGCTTTCTAAAATAAACTTCTTCATTATCTGCTTAATTACTAAAGCCATGCCATTTAGACAGTGTATTCAGCTGAAATAATTGAAATAGTTTGAGTTTTACTTCAATTCCTTCTTAATTTGTTGAATGCCTCCTTACATGCCATGCTGTTTATATAAGATGGTTGAGTTTGCAGATATCTGTATGAACTTATCCACAAAGTTGTCACTGTATATTAGACTTACCATTTCTAAAACGGATGGCCGGCCCTCTAACTGAATGTGAACACTCACTTCTTTTCCACTTTCCATTTTCCCAAAATTGCATAAGAAGTTTAAACAATATGGATCAGCTTTTATGCAGTACTTGAAAAGAATGTAAAAGAACTACATTAAAATTTCAACATTTTTTAAAAAGATGGCTAAAATATTTTATATCTGCTTTCATTAGTGGCATTTAAAAAATGTCTTAAAACATAGTTCATTTTATAAATTGTAAAAAAAATCAAAGTATTTGAACTGGACCGTGTGTTCTCATTATTCTTATGAACTTAATCTTCTGGGATAGACTTAAAAGAAAGCTCCTAATCAGAATCTTGTTAAATTAAATGCTGTATGTCCATTGTAAAACTTGAATCATTTGAAGAGTAAGATTGCTTTCTCGTCCCCCGCCACCCCCCTGCAATAAATTAAGAAAAGAGTGAAAATTTCATGCCACAGGGTCTGCTGAAGGGTCTGGAACAATAGCTGGCTGGCACAAAATGGGCATTTGTTAAATAAGGAAACTGTATATATATATACACTATATAACTATATAGTATATATTTAACCCTGGATCTAAACTTCTCAATCATGCCTGTTCCTCATATGCAAGAATATTACCTGAACTTATTTCTTTCCCACACTCAGCTGACAGCTCAAACCCATTGATTCTTGGTTTTTAGTGTTTCAGTTGTATATGATGGAGAGCACTGAGATGTGAAAAACTGAAACTTACCAAAAGCCTCTTATCAGTCTTCGACAAGACTCTGAAGATGTCTTTCAAGGTGTCCATTGCACTTTTCTGCTGCTCTGATGAACACTTTCTTTCGTAATTTTTAAAATGGCATTCTCCAGTAGTAGTCTATAAAAATAGAAAGTGAGAAAAATCTTATCAATAGAACAAAAACTACATGCTTTAAAAAGTTCTAAAGTACATCAAGTACTTGTAAAATTGTTAAAATATTTTTTGACAGATTTATTTGGGAGAGATTAAATCTCTGAAGCAAAAACCCAGCGAAAATTTAGAGGGTTGGATATGTAGATCCTAAACTACTCAAATGACCTTAATCTTCAGAAATTAGTACAATGTGAAAAATAGATGTTAGCATGAAATTAAATATTTACAAAGCAATAATGTGTTAATAGCAGCATGTCCTGTCATCTAAATCTGGAAATCAGGATTCTAAAAAATTAGAATTATTTATTGTTTGTCTTGAAACTAGGAGAGTAAAAGCAATTCTGATGAAATCAACATAAGAACATTGATTCTTGAGTAGTGATCTGAATATTCTTTTAAAGAAAAAGGCTAAATTACTGGTTTTTCAACAGTGTTCTTAAGTTTTATAGAGAATTCTACTAATTAAATGATTTTCACAGGTCTATATCACACACATACACACACGAAATTGTACTAAGATGGTAGAACATAAGTCAAATTCAGAGATTCCACTATAATCCTAGAGTTCTAATGCAATGTATATCAAAGTGTACTCAGATGCATGGTGAATTTACAGCTAAGAGTAAGTGTGACTGAAATATATTAACAAATCTTTATTTTAGCAATATTACTAACAATAAAGGAAGGAACACACTGTTACCTGGACATCCAAAATATTGAACAACTTATCGGTTTGGGGGATAAAAGAATTCGGTACCATTATCTCCACACTAACATTTGGAGCCACGCTATGGCCGGTATTGATAACCTAATAAGAAAAAATTTTTAAACAATTTTTAAATATTTTTCATAAATGTAAGCATAGATATTAAAGAGCTTTTAAGTGAACTCATGTTTCATGCAACATTTATATTGGAGGTTTGTAGTTGGCAGCTGCACAGCAAAGGGAGACAAACTATCCATAGTGAGAATTTTAAAGTTTGTTAATAATTGCAACCTCTAGTCATTATTCCCAGCCCTCTCCTTGGTATTTATTAGGCCAAAATGTCCAAGCTGATGTTCTATTGTAGAAATAGTCTAAAGAAAGAGACTAACATAATGTGTTTGTATGGCACGTGATGCGTCTAAAAAACCATGATCAGTTGGTCCTCATAACTCACCTATGAGGTAGGCCGACATTTATTTGCCAGTTCAGGAAAATGCTAAGAGGTGTTAGTTAATGGTGTGTCCAAGATGAAAGTTAAAAAGTGACAAGAACTAGGACCAAAACTCAGATGTTCTAATTCTAAATCCTATGACGTTTTCATAAAATCACTCTGCTGAGGGGACACTCATCAGCAGTAAGTGAATAAAAATCCATTATTTCAGGGTAATTATAATGGTGATACACTCAGAAATAAAGAAGGGGTAAGTTATTGGTTTTAGAATAATTGAACAGGTTTTTAAAGAATATATACAGGAATATTTCATTACTGTTGATAAATTTGGGGATTGCAGATCCTTGTAAAGGAAATTGGGCCAAAATATTGCCTCCTGAGAACTTAACTAAAAAACCAATACAATAAGTCAGAAAAGAGATGTACCACAATATCTGAACAAAATAGCCTGCCTCACAGACTTGCAATATTTTGAATGTATATGACATAAAGAAAACATGGTCTTGGATTTGAGACAGGTGGTAATTGCTAGGCCATGCAAGGACAAGACAGTTTCAAAGGCAGTGTCAGCAGTGGGTAACCAAACCAGCAGTGCCTAGATCTTTAGACAGGATCTTCCTGATGCCAGCAAATAATCATTCTGACCTACAGTGTTTTTTATCCTTGTTTGCCTAATAACATTTAGACCTCCAAAAACATCTTCATACTTGGACAGACTCACCAAACCTACAGGTTGAAAGTATGTACAGTTCCAGTCACTCTATTGTAATTTAACTACAATAAATTACAATACTGGTTAACTGTCAATTATAAATAAATGAAAATACTGGTTAACTGTCAATTATAAATAAATGGGTCTTGTAGAGTCCAGCTCGGTTTTTGTTTTTTGTTATCAAAGCAAAAACCTCACTGGGCTCTGACAGGACCATTTATTGGGACTTTAAAATATAGCTAAATATTTTCAACACTATTGTGTTAACAAAAACTTGAGTATACATAGACTTGATAGGATTTCAAGATCATTCCAAGATCTGGGGGAGAGCCCAGGAATTTGCATTTTGGATAAGTACTCCAAGTGCCTGATACATATTTTGAAAAGCATTGCCTTACAAAATATAGCTAATCTAGACTTAGATTCTATACATGGTTATAGAGCTCTAAGAATATTTGGACAGTACTTTCAGTTCAAAAAATATTTCTGTGGACTATCTCCAATTCATCAAAAACATCCATGGTGCACCAAAAATATCTTTATATTAGTATATTAATACTTCTAGATAATGATAGTACTCTTTACTTTTTAAAAAGGTTATTGAATAAATGATACATCACTTGTCACAGGTCATATACCTATGGCCTAAAAGTAGATATGACCAAGTAGACCTTAAACGGAGATATAGGAGGTAAAAGCTTCCTTTACTTCATAATTTTTGGGCTTTTATAAAACCTGAACCAAGAAGAGATTTAACTGATTTCCACCCAAAGATGCCTTCCCTTGGCCTATCCTGTTTTTAGTATGAACCTCTAGTGGATTCACTTCCTTATCTAACTTTGCCAGTTTCAGGCATTACCTCCGTTTCTACTTGCTCATTTTCACCTGTACTGTAAGGAGGTGTGGGTTTGAGGAACAGGGAAAGACAAATAGGAAAAAAGCAGCAGGAGCCTGAGAGGAAAGGGCTTGAGTTCCCATGCAGCAGCTCGTTCCTCACCCTTAGTCAGCTGTGGTGGCCCGTGGGCTGAGGGACATCACGAGTATATGATGTCCTCTAGAGCCATGTATCAGTAACATTCTTTTGGTTTATTACAGATATCAACACAATCATCTTTTCTTACGTGGAAAGTGAAGTTCATTTTCTCTGCCATGCATGTTTCAGGCTCACTGTCCTCCTCTGGTCCATACACAAATGAAGTTGGGTTTACAAACCTGATAGAAACAAATTTTTTTTTTTAAGTGTGACAGTCTCACAAAGTATGTATTGGGTGTGTGTTAGATAACAGGCTGTGTTGGGTGCAAGGATGCCAATATTCATAAGACACATTGCCCCACTCAAGATTTGTACAGTCTACTTGAACTTGGTTAACTGTCTTTTTTTTTTTTATGAGATAAACAGTCTTTGTAGTCTGGATTAAAGCATACTCCTTAAATATGTTATAATCCAGACTATACGTGATTCCTAAGCACCATGGAATACTTTTGATTTCTTGTTAAGAATTTTAGTAAAAATGTAATGAAATTAGAAAGCCATGTGCTCTGACTTGGGTGACAATCTCCCTTTCCACTAATATCCTTTGTTTGCCTTCCCAGCACTGCTTGGCTCATTCTATTGAAATGATTCACGCAAATTTGACAAATGAGATAAATTCTTAGCTTTTCCCTAGGGCTCCAATATCATTCTCTACCTCAATCTATCTTACCTATTTTTGAGTTATTTCTTCTCACTCCCTAAT